TCCTCCTGCCTCAGCCTCCTGAGTGCTGGGATTACAGATGTGCGCCACCGTACTCAGCTCAAGCCTCAAAAATTCTTAGCTGGATCCAGACATGATGGTGCAGGCCATTAATCCCAGCACTCAGGAGGTTGAGGCAGCAGGATCACCTTGAGTTTGAGGCCAGCCTGGGCTCCATAGTGAGTTCAAGAGCAGCATCGCAACTATATAGCAAGACTTTGTCTCAAAGAAAAAAAAAATTCTTAGCTATTACATGAGTTATCCAGCTGAGTAATAAACTGTACCCAAACGCCTTGAATGGACTCAAATAGTATAAAATTATCCCTCATCATTGTTCATTGTGATCTCCTGAAAAACTGAGTGTTGACAATGAGACCCTTACCTTAGTTTTTAGAGAAATAACACATGGCCTTTTTGGAGGTATAACCCTCAAAAGTTGTTTGTTTGAAATGAAGATTCCCTCCATTTTGAAAAACATACCCATATGTACAGTTTTCAAATTGAAATCCATGTGAGTTTGAAGTCATTTTTCTTTTGTGAGTTTTGTAGCGACTTTAAGCTTTCTTGGAGACTCAACAGAACATTGCAGAGTTGTTCAGGACAGGCGTCTCTGCAGTGAGGGTACTTGCTGCTCACAGTGTGCAAGGCAACTGGGATGGGGGAGACAGCTTCAAATTATGTGTACTTTGACTCATCCTTTGAAACTACCTTTGGTATTTGTATGATACCCAAAAGTACAGGTATATAGTTTTAAAATAAATAAATACATGTGTTAGGTGAGTGTAATAAAAAGTATTTTACTAATTGGGTGCAGTAGTACACACCAGTAACCCCAGCCTTGAGAGGCTGAGACAGGAGGACCACAAGTTTGAGCCCAGCCTGGGCAACTTAGTGAGACCCTGTCTCAACATTAAAAAAGTAAAAAGGACCAGGGATGTAGCTCAGTGGTGGAATGCTTACCTAACATATGTGAAGCCCTGGGTCTAACCCTAGTAACACACACACACACACACGTGCACATGCACACACATGTTTTACTGATAGAGATGAATGCTTGAATCCTCTGGGAATGACTACCTTAGGAGCCACTACATTGTTCAACTTGGGAATAATAACAGCAATGAAAATTGCTACAGTGTGTGGTGTGATTACTTTGTGCATTCCACATGCTTTGTCGCATTTCATTCTTCTACAACCCCATTAGCTATATACTATCATTATCCCCCCATATGGATAAGATACAGACTTTGACAAATGTCATTTGACTTATCTAAGGTTACACGGTTTATAAAAGACACAAACATGGTTTACTGATGTAGGCCCTTGGGAGAGAATTGTGGGATTGGCCAACAGGATTTGGTTTATATTCATTGCTAGGGTGAAATTTCATTCCAGCAAAGGAAAATACCCTACTAGCCAGCAGAGCTTACATGTCTTCTCTTTCTGTAGACTTCTCTGGGAGAATTTTTAAAAACATAATCTATTCAACACCTCTGTAGTACAATACCATTAATTAACATTCTACTCACTTTTTTACAGCTTAGAAGCATTTTCTCACTGAGCTTATTTCTCATTTAGCTTATTTTATCCTTAAAACACACGAGATGGGTATGGTATAATTACCCCCATTTTACATATGAAGAAAACAGGTTAAGTGAACTGTTTTGTTCATACGTGTATTCACTACTTCTTAAGCACCAGTAATGTGTTGCTAGATAGTGAAGATAAAGTGATCAATCCAATAAAACCTCTGTTTTCTTAGCACTTATAATTTAGAGCAGGAGTTGGCAAACTTTTTTCTATACAGGTCAAAGCAAATATTTTAAGATTTATGGACCATACTGTTTCTGTTGCAACTACTCTCTGTTGCTATGAAGCATAAATGCAAACAGAGAAAATAGGTGAACAAATGGGCATGGGTAAATTCCAATAAAACTTCACTTAAAAATATAAGTAGGGGGCCAGAGTTGGTCTGTGGGTCTTAATTCTTTGACTCCTACTCTGAAGGAGGAAAATAGAAGGGACAGATGAATGGATCTGATGATTCAGATACTGAAAAATGCTAAGGAAAATAAGTAGATGATATGATAGAATATCTCATAGTTCTACTTTAGTTAGGCTGATCAGGGAAAGCCTCACTTAGGGTAAAACATTTAAAATGAAATCAGGTAGGAGAGAGTCACCTGTGAAAAGGACTACAGAAGAGCATTTCAGACAGAAACAGCAGGTGCAAAGGTCCTGTGGTAGGGCATATTTGAGGAATACAAGGGAGAGTGGTGATAGAGGAAGTTTAGGAGTTAAACAAGGGTCAAGTTACACAGGATACTCATCATGGGCCACAAAAAGAAAAAGAAATATGGGGGCAGAGTGAGAGCCCTTCCTTTTGCTTTAAATCCTTTTACTAGGTAATTATTTTCTGGGAAGAAGCCCAGATTAGCTCACAGTGTTGCTGAGTCTTTGACGGCAAGGAGGCTCTGAGATGAAGCTGTGATTTGTTGCTGGTGCTGCGTATGAGCTGGGGAAAACACTCACTGAAATAACTCCTGGAAGCTGAGCCAACCGTTCCAGCTGTGTGGAGATACCAGGACTTTGATCTTCAGGTTGGGACACTCGGATACGATGGACTCCACCGCCAGGGCCACCTCCTCACTGACCACAATGCACTTGGCATTGGACGCTTGCAGCCGGTAGAGGATGTCTTTGGTCGTCAGCTGGGTTGTTCCCGGAATGAAGACAAGCCCTGGGAAGGACAGAGGGTCCTGAGCTAGCAGAACTGTTGTCCATTAGGTGTGATGACTCTGTGGACAGTGGAGAATATGGGCTGTGTGCCTGCAGAGACGGACCCTGAGAATACTACCTTCAGCGACTCCTGCCTTGGTCCCCGGGAACATCCTGCAGGACCTCGGTCCCTGGCTTTGGAGTCTGACAGACCCTGGGTCTAATCCTGGCCCGCAGTTTACCAGCTTTCTGACTTTGATCTCTCTGTACTTTCTTTCCTTTATCTGTAAAATGGGGTAATGATAGGGTCTAGCATATAGGAGGCTGTTATTATGTAACATTTTAATATGATGTTACTATCATTATTATGTAACACTTAAATAGCACTTGACATCTTCTATCACATTTTTATGAATACTATCTCATCAATTCTCTGAAGCAGTAGTGTCCAAAGTGAGTTTTGCAAGACAGTCCATTGGGAATGAGAAAAGAGAATAATATAATTTTTGAAAATTATTGAGATACTAGAATTCTTTTTATATTTTAATCTCCTTTTTATATATGTTTATAATATGAATACCATATTAGTACAGTAGAATAGTATAAAAACCTATGCCAGATAGGAAGATTTGTGTCCTAGACATTTTTATTGATGGACTATATGGGTTATACCGTTGCCTGGCAACTACTGTTCTAAGCATTCCCAGTAGATCCACGCCGCTGTTGCCATTTGGTGGGGTTGAGATTTGTTCATAGCTGGTGACTGGCACAGCCAGCCCTCAGATCTCTGGATCCCAGTGGTCTGGCATCATTGACGTTTACCTAGACTGCTATGACAATGCTCAACTTATCCCTCTTCCTCACTTCATCCTAAACACTCATTGATTTCAATTCCTCATGAAAAGAACAAACATGGCAGAACAGGATGTAAGACAGAGAGAAGGTAGTTTTCACTTTCTCAACTGAATCCCTGGAAAGGAAATGGCATATAAAGCATTACAGGTAGCCACTACCTTTCATGTCTGTGTGTGGTACTGTCTGTGAACCTATGCCCTTTGCACTGAGCTACATTCCCCAGCCTTCTTTAATTTTTCTCTTATTTTTTATTTTGAGACAGGGTCCTATTAAGTTAGTTGTCCAGGCTAGGCTTGAACTTGTAATTCTCCTGCATCAGCCTCCCAGAGTGCTGTGATTACAGGTGTATACTACATGCCTGACTAGCCACTACCATTTATTGAGTACCTACTATGTGCCTGGTTATCTCTTCACTTAAAATTAATTCTAGTGTATGATAACCTCACCCAAGACTGCAAAGCCAGTAAGTGACAGAGCCAGGATTCAGAGATCTATTTCCCAGACCCCAAGACTTGTGCTATACTCTAGACTACTTAATTTCTTGTTGAGTTCCCTTCAGTAGCTAAATACCAAGATATGGAGTTGAATTCGTAGGAAGACTTTATTTTTATTGAATATATTTTAAAAGCTCTTAGATGTCATCCCCTCTAAAAAATGAATAAATATATGAAGATAAAGAAGTTCAGGGGCCGGGGATTTGGCTCAGTGGTGCTGCCGCCTGCCTCGCAAGCACAAGGTCCCGAGTAATATCCCCAGTACCAAAAAAAAAAAAATTCCGTAAGAAAACACCCCAGAGTAGTGATGGCAAACCTTTTAGAGCTTTCAGTGATACAGCCTGCTGTGGCACGTGTGCTGTAGGTTCGCCACTTCTGCCCTAGAGGGTCTCAGAATGTTCACTTGATGTAAAAATATAAGATTATTAATTTTATGAGCCACTTGTTCTTAATGATTCACAAATAATTAGTCCTGTTGGTGGATTTGGGATATGAAATGTGTTCAACAGATAAATCTCCAGCTTGAGGAGGGTAGAGTTCTTCTAGAGGATTTCAGAGAGCAAATATTTCCAGATAGCAAATATCTTAGGTTTTATTGCATACACTCTACATCAAAAACAAACTATTTTGCCATGTTTCGTAGTACAAGTCATCCTAATCTGCATGGAGAAGATTTAATAATTCTGAGAAAACAAAATACTCAGCTGCTTCCTTTACTTAATTGAATATTTTGAGTTTGTGTGTTTTTCATTGGCATTTTGTAATTTTCACTAGTTATATTAAGTATATTAAATATATACTTTGGCAAATAAAACACCCATAATCTTCTCCCAGCATACAATTGGCTTTATATTTGCAACTTCTTTTTATACTGAATGCAAGAATTTTATACATTGTTGCTTTTATTATATCAGCATAAAGAACATTTTTAATACTATTATGAAGTCATTATATTATCCTTACTATAATTTATCCTTAAGTACCATCAAGTTGAGGTACCAGAGTTTTGATCAGCAAGTAAACATTGCCAGGCATGGTGGCACACACCTGTAACTCCAGCACTTGGGAGGCTGAGGCAGGAAGATCACTGCGAGTCGAGGCCAGCCTGGGCTACATAGTGAGTTCAAGGCCAGCCTGAACTATGTAATGAAACCTTGCCTCAAAACAAACAAAAAAACAAAAACAAACTAAAATAAACGCACCTTAACTAAACTTACATCTTAACTGTTATAATTTATTCAATCATTTCTATTTAAATCTTTGTTCAGTTTTTTACTATCATTAGTGATATTGCAACAAACATCCTTATGTTCTCTATAATAACTGATCCTTTGGTATTCTTATTTATTTTTATTGATTTATAATAATTTGAGTTTTAGAGCAGAGATTGGCAAAGGTTTTTGGTAAAGAACCAGACAGTGAATATTTTGGGTCACATAGTCAATCTTGGACTCACTTAGCATTTCCGCTATTATAGAACAAAAGAAGCCATAGATAGTATTTAAAGAATGAGCATAGCTATATTCCATCAAAACTCTGTCTATAAAACCCCATAGGCGCTGGTTTACTGACCCCTGCCCTAAAGGAGAAATTTGTTTTTAAAGTACCTTACATTACTCTTTTGGGAGAAAATGTGTAATTAATATATTAATTTTTTTCTACCATACTGGGGATTGAAACCAGGGCCTTCACATCCCTAGCCCTTCTTTCATTTTTTAATTTTGAGATAGGCTCTAAGTTGCCCAGGCTGGACTTGAACTTGGGATCCTCTTGCCTCAGCCTTCCAGAGTGCTGCAAAGAAGCGTTGGTACCCACATTTGCTTTTATGGAGCTTTGTGTTTAATCCTAATTGTGTAGCTTCCTAGTTGTTTGACTTTTGGCAAACTTCGTGATCTCTCTTCTTGGTTTCCCTGCCTATAAAATGGTTATCACAATAATACTGAGTTCTTGAGACAGTAATTATTATTACATCATGATTGCTCTTAACTTCAACTCTTCTTTTCCTTTCCTTGTAAGCACAGCTTTATTAAAAGCTAACATTTCAGAGAGGGCTTGGTTTTCAGTCTCTTTGTGTTTCTGCATAATTTACACGTTAAGTACTGGCACTAACCTGTTCGCATGCAAGCCACGTTGATGAGCCACCATTCAGGGATTCGGGGTAGAATCACGACCACTCGATCTCCTCTCTGTAAGCCGCAGGACTTGGTGAACACATTGGCAGCCTTTCGGGACAAAGAGCTCAGTTCTCTGAAGCTCCATTTCACTTCATCCCCTTTGCCATTCACCCACCACAGGGCTGGGTTGGCTGGCCTCTCCCCTGTCTGAACAGGGACACAAGAGAAAGAGAAGGTGCTGTGGTTTGGAAGTATCCCCCAAAGGCCCATGTGTTGAAGATCTGTGGCACTACTGGGAGCTGGTAGAACCTTCAGGACATGGGGTCCAGTGGAAGGAAGTTCGGTTTTGGGGGTATCCCTTTGAAGGGGATGTTGGGACCATGGCTCCTTCCTCTCTCTTGCTCTTTTTGCTTCCTGGCTGCCCTGAAATGAGCAGACCACCAAGTGCTCCTGCCATGATGTACTGTGGTGCCACAGGCCCAAAGCAACAGAGCCAAATGACCGTGGACTGAAACCTCTGAAACTGTGAGCCAAAGTAAACTTTTCCTTCTTTTGTCACAGTGATGGAAAGCTGACTAACACAGAAGACTTATGTAACATCTGCCATTACACCTCCTCAGCACCTGTTCTTATGCATTCTAGAGCAGCACCCCTCTCTGTCTTTGGGGAAACTGCTCCTCTCCTACTGAACACAGTCCTGGCAAGACACACCATCAGATGCTCGCTCGTCTCTGAATGGTGGGTGAGCATGTGACCACAGTTGGGCCAATCAGACTTTGAGTTTTCTGAAGGGAACCAGAAGATTAAAATGGTTGAAGCAAAACTTGTCCACGGGGTCTTGGTACTTATGCATCCCCAGGGAGCCATCCTAGTCCTTTTGGTCCTCACTCTGATTCACTCTCCAGCTTCAACCCCAATTTCACAAGGCCTCCCACATTTCTCTCATAAATTTCTTTCTTGTTTAAATTAGATTTTGTTCCACCCAAATAACTATAAAGAGAATACTGAGTTTGATTAGGAACCTGATATATCTGTTTGTACCCAAGGGCTGAGCTGTGCGTTTCACAGGTTATGAGGATCAAGGTGGAAGGGGGCATCAACTGATTGCTGGAGGAAACCTCTCACTTATCATTCTATAAAGTGAGTCACCTGTACTGCAAAACCTATTTACTTATGTATTACCTGGAAAAAATTATTTCCTTTCTTTCCCCCTATCTGAAATACTTCTTCTACCTTTCCTGATTGGAGAATACTTCAAAGCCCAGTTTACATTCCACTTTGTCTTTTTTAGCCTCTTCTTTTTTCCCCACTGACTTCTCTATGTTCCTTCAGCATTGTGCTCACGTTCTAGGTGACTCCATTATACTGTATGGTACAATATTACAGATGTGTCCTACCCTATGGATGTGATCCTCAAAAGATAGGAACTTGGTTCATGTTCTTTTGGGAGTGTGTGACCTTGGATAAGTAGCTTAACTTCTGTGAGGCTAAATTTCTTATCCAAACTCCCCTCCCCAATCCAGAGTGGTTATAGGGATTTGATGAAGTCGCATAGGTATTTCCCAACCTTTGGTCATCTGAGTATCACTGTTTCTGGAAGATCTGTCTACACCTGTGCTATTGTTCTTTACTTTGTCTTTACATCAACTCACATGTATACGTTTACTTAAGAAGGAAACTCCATTTAATCAGCAGTTTGGTAATGGTTGGAAAATCAGTACCACTTGTTAAAAACAGCTTACAGATATGTGTATAGTAAAAGTGTTGGGAGCAATGCTACATAATTCTAGGGAAAATTCATTTGAGTAGGCCTAGTTCTACTGCCTACAGGCCAGCTATGGCATTCCAGACATAATTGCATTTTGGCCTCTGGTCACAAGTGAGACCTCAGTGATCCTGTGATGCTGTGATGGTCCAGGACAAGACCACACCTGTGGGAGACATCCTGGGAGGAACCAAATCTTCATCTGCATAGTTCCTCATTGTTCTTAGATTTCCACTGCCCCCCAGCCTTTTGTTACACCTTGTTTATCCCAATGTGAAGTACTGAACTCTGCATTTCACTTGTTACTTTTGTTTCCCCATGTACTGAATAAAAGGTGCTACAAGCTAGGGGGTCTTTGTCTTTGCCGCCCAGA